GCCTGGGTCGTCTCACTCACTCGCGGGGCCTGCGCTCTTGATACTTAATTTATAAATACTGCTTTTCACATACTAGTAGACTTTAGAGTTATTTATTTATTTTTCTTTGCAGAAAGGAATGGTTAGGATGCAATTTTGATACTTTGCATTTTTAATCAATAGGCAGCAGCCTTGGGGACAAAAATTATTAATGAAAATGGCCTGTTGCATCTGATCTGAACTATGCCAGGCAAGACATCTAAGTTAAGCTATGAATAGGAAAAGTTTTTGTCTAGGAACTTCTGCATCTCGAGACACATATTTTCTGAACCCTTTCATTTTGTGTCTCTCCTTTAGTGTTAGCCTTATTAATTCTAAGTATATAATTGTCTTCTCCATATTTGGGACACATGTCTGTCAGCAACCCAAGAGTAGTATCTCTAGTATGTCATCGAAATGGGATGTAGTCCATCCAGTATATTCTAGTTAGCAAAATCTTAGAGGGCTGGAGGGCTGGCCAAATAGCTCTGCTTAGACAGGTGCAGGGACAGGGTTTGATCCCCTTTGTGCTGTGCCAGCCTCATCCAGGGGTGTGCTGAGAAAGCAGCTAAGACTGGGCGTGGTGGCGTGTGCCTGTAATCTCAGCGCTTGGGAGGCTGAAAACAGGAGGATCACTAGGTGTCTGATCTGTATAGTGAGACCCTGTAGGCCCTGTACTAAAATTTAAAAAAAACCAAAAAAACAACAATTAAAAGAAAAATCTCAGGAAATGATTTTTATTGCTTAACCATAGTAAAGTGGTAAAAACCAAGGACTTAACACTGATATCAGATTGTAAATTACACATATTAGTTGCACTTCACATTTTCTCCTGTTGTCCTTTTTCTGTCCCAGGATCCAACATTACACTGAGTTGTCCAGCCTATGGCAGTTCCTCTCTGGCCTGTGCTACTTCTTTAGTCCTTGGCTTCTTGGGATCTTGACACTTCTGATGAATGTGGGTTGTTTTGTGGGCTCTCAGTTTGGGTTTAGTTGGTGCTTTCTTATGATTCTATTGAGGTTATGCATCTTTGGCAAGAATACCACAGGAGTGGTCTTGTGTTTCTCAGAGCGTCACAGGCACCTGATGTTGATATCAGTGTCTTATGTGATTACTTGGTTAAGGTGGCTGATACTTAAGCTGATGCTACTATCCTATTTCTTCTTAAACATTTATCCATGAGTTTTAGCATCCACTGACAAAGATAGTTAATAGTTTTTGAAATTGAGATATAATTCATATGCCATAAATTTCATCCTTTTATGGTGTATAAATCAGTGGTTTTTAATGTATTCATGAGTGTCTACCACTGTCTAGTCCTAGAACAGCTTCTCCTATCCTGTTTTCATTTGCAGTCACTCCTCATGCCTACTCCCTGGCAATCACTACTGTACTTTCTGGATTTGCCTATACTGGACATTTTGTTTAAGTAGAATCACACAGTACATGTGGCATTTTGTGTCTGGCTTCTTTATCCATTTTTTTTCCCCAACAGTAGTGTCCATCACGAGATCAGCCCAGGTTAAGATCACACAGATCTCACGCTGCCCCCTTGGAAGTCATTTAGCAGAATGTTCTCAGTCTCATCAGATTTCTTTTTCTCTTTCTTTTCTAATTGTTAAGATGGAGAAAGCAAAGTCCAAATTGGAGACAACACCCCAAAAAAATAACCGTGGAAAAAGAAAAATTAGTCCAAGCAAGAACGAATCAGAATCTAAAAAGAACAAGCAGACTCCTAAAAGAGACAGCTCTACTAAGACAATAAAAAAGGAAACAGAGGTAACAAATGTGTTTCGGAGAGGCCTGGACTTCAAGGAGCAGGTGACCAAGGAAACAAGTGGTGACAGCAGGCCTAGGGAGTTGGCTGGTGACAGCAACGAAAGCAGAGTGGACAGTTTACTCTGGGTGGATAAATATAAGCCAACCTCACTCAAGACCATAATTGGACAGCAAGGCGACCAGAGCTGTGCCAATAAGTTGCTCCGCTGGCTCCGAAACTGGCACAAAAGTTCTCCTGATGAGAAAAAGCATGGTGATTTTACAACTTTACTCATTTCTGTGTGTCTGTCAATATGCAATTGCTCCTGTGCACACATGAGCAAGGGAAATTCATCGGTTAAGCAGCATTGCTTAGCAGCTTGCTCTGAGCCCAGGTGCTTTGCTAGACCTTCGTGGCACCATGGTGAGCAAAGCTGCCTTCCTCAGGAGCTCACAGACACTGAGGAAGACATACAGACCACCCATTAAAAGGTAGTGTGCCAGCCAGGGGTGGTGGCACATACCTGAAATCCCAGTACACAGGCTGAGGCAGAAAGATCACACATTTGAGGCAGGTTTGGACAACTTAGTTAGACCTTATGTCAGAATTTAAAAAATAATTCTAAAAGAGCTGAGGACATAGGTCAGTATGCAGGTCTCTTGGCTTTACTCTCCTGTACATACACAAATAAATCATACCAAGTCCCAGGGGTAAGTATAGGGTACTACAGGGTGGAGGTGTGTTCAGGGATGAAGATGTACATTCTCTACTTTTTTTTTTTTTTTTTTTGCAGTACCGGGGATTGAACTCAGGCCCTTGCGCTTGCCAGGCAAGTGCTTATTCTACTGAGCTTATTCTACAAAGATGTGCATTCTCATCCTTGTAGAACGAGGTAGATAGTATGAGATTTGGAAACCAAGTAAGAGATAGCTACAGCTAGGTGAAGGGAAGGGTAAAGGTTGGGTGGAGGAAGCATGTCCAGAGCTTGGTTGATTCTCGAGAATGCCAGGGCACTTGGATAAGGCATGAGTCAGTAGCTGAGGCACTCACACCGAGCCTAGATTCCCAGGAGCACTTGTGATTTGCTCTAGGCGGGCTTGAGAGGCCTGTGCTGTGGTAGTTTCTGTATGCATATTTTCACCACATATTTGTCATGGAGCATGAAAAGCCAAACTTGTCTTTAATGTCCAAAGTACTTTTGGAAGTGCAGTTATAGGCCACAGATGTTAGTAACTTTCACCACTGCCCTGTGAGAAATAGGACAGATGTTGTGAGCACTGTGGCAAATTCTCAAAGTGGTGACTGGCTCATTAATAACTACTTGGTTGTTAGACATCGCCAACAAAGCCAGATGGCTTTCTTCATAGCTGTTAAATATTTAAAGTATGATGATACAGGATTAAGTATGAGTCCTTTTTTTTCAGAAACCACATATAAAGTCCACCTTAATAAGGGCTAAGTGTTTTGTGCTGGAGAAGACTAGGTCTCAGGCGAGCGACAGGCTGCCTTCCCCACACTGGCCCTGGCAAGCAGAGTGGCACCCACTTATCTGGGATGTGGGCACACTTTGAGTCCCTTCCTGTGTGAGAGCCCATGTGGCAATGGGGAGAGTTGAGCTGTGCACGGTGGTGCCCATGTATCGTCAGCTCCGTCTCTTGCAGGTAGCCAATCCTGCTGGCTATTATTTCTTGCCACAAACACAGCAGGCTCTGTGCTCAGCCTTGTCCTGTTTACAGCACCCACACCAGCTGTGGTACTGGTGTTGCGCCTCACTTTATGGAGGAAGAGCTAAGTCTGGACTAAAGCACTCCCAGCTGAGACAGGTGGATGCAGACACGAGCCTTGGCAGTGTGCTCCCTGGCATGTGCTTCTATAGGAAAGGAAACCATATGTTCCTTTCATATCAGAGTTTGCAAGGGAATTAATTTTAATTTTTTATTTTTAGCTAAACTAAATATTAACTAAATACTGCACTAAATACTAGTTTTAGTTTTTTAATTTTGGGCAGAGATGATATATGAAGTAGAATTTTATTCAGCAGAGATCTGTTACGATTTGTAGAAAAGTTTCTGCAGACTTAAGACTAAGTGGGGGCTGCCGCTCTAGGCAGAGAATGCACACTTCTGTTCACAAATTTCTGTTAGCTAATATAGGTTTAACACTCTGGAATTTCTTTTTCTCTAGCAGCAAAGTTTGGTAAATTTGCTGGCAAAGATGATGGTTCTAGTTACAAAGCAGCACTGCTCTCGGGCCCTCCAGGTGTTGGCAAGACTACTACAGCTTCTCTTGTGTGTCAGGTGGGTGCTCAATTGTGTGGTTGGAAGGAGAACCTACTCCTGAGTAGTCCTGAGTAGGAGAAACGCTTACATAGGAGAGTAGGTAAAAGTTGTGTATGTGTAAATCTGCTCTATATATTTAAAATCACTTTTAGGAATTTTGTTCTGGTGATATTTCTCATTTTCATGCTTTTAAAAATAAAAAATGTTACCCATTATATTGATTATTTTGGTATATTAGTCCTCCCTAAACCAAGACCCCCAGTGAATTCTTGAAGTTGCAGATAGTACTGGATGCTATGCCCTCTTTCTGTATGCCCTGCTACATTGCCACATGCTATACAAAGTTAGCTTGTCCTTCCGTTTCCATGTTTTATACCCTGGTGCCTTTTTTGCATTAGTACTTTTACTCTTTGGAGCTGTCATTAAGTAAAATAACAGCAGCAGTGTGCTACTGTACCATTTACACTGATAACCAAGATAGCTAGCTACTCATGACTAAGGCAGTGAATTGGTCAGCTCCCTGTTGGTGGTACATAGTACCCATCACCTACAGTTCAAAAGAGGAGAGGTTTAATTTAGCACATGGTTAAGAGGATTCAGTCCATGGTCATCTGGCTTCAAGATAGAAACATGGTGGGAGCGCTTGGTGGAGGGAGATGGCTTACCTCAGGACAGCTAAGAAACACGAAGGGGAGCTGTGAAGGAGGGAGGTACACCAGCAGTGGTGCACCTCCTCTGACACACCTCTTCTGTCCAGGCCCCGCCTTTTACCAGCACACTTACTTATGCACTCAGTTCTTATGATGAATATTACACGCTTGTGATCCAGTCTCCTTGCACATACCTCAACTCTGGGCACCTTGTCTTTGAGGGACATTCTCCTTCTAATCCACACAGGCAGGAAGTGTATTTGTGCTGCATATACAGGCAAGGGGTTGGTTTATACCTCAGGGAAGATGGAGCAGGACAGCAGGAGATGTTATCATGCTACTTAGGATACCCTGCAGGATCAAAGTTTCTTAGGGATTTCCAAAGGGAAACCCCAGAGGAAGGCAGACTAATGTAATAGATAATGTGTGCCTGTGAGCTAGTGTGTTAGCACTTGGTGTATTATCTTACAGGTCAAGCATCCCTAATATAAAAATCTGAAATACAGAATGCTCTGAAACCCAAAACTCTGTTTTTCTTTTTTGACTAAGGTCTTATAATATAGATAGTTCAAGCTGTCTTTTTTTAAAAAATGTGTTTGGTACAGGGTCTCACTATGCAGCTCAGACTTGTAGTGATCCTACTGTTTCACCTGCCCCAGCGCTGGGATTACAGGCATGCGCCGCCATGTCCAGCCTCACCAGCTGTCTTTGAACTCACTCTGTAGCCTAGGCTGGCTTCAAGTGCACGGCAGTTCTCATACCTCAGCCTCCCAAGTGCTAGGATTACAGGCATGTGTGCTACTGTGACCGGCCTTGAAACCCAAATTTCAGATTTTGAATTTTGGATTTTTGGATTAGTGGATACTCAAACAGTAAAGTTGGTATACATATTACATAATCTGAAACCTCAAATACCTCAGGTTCCAAGTATTTCAGATAAAGCATATGCAGCCAGTATATAAATGTTATAGATCCTGAAAAATACAGATTTTTTTCATACTCCCTCATCACTCTTCTGTGTCCTAAATATATGTCCTGTTGTCATCTTTTTGTGGCAGAAGGAGTGTTATGAGCCCAGGCCATGTGACATGTCGTTGTTGTCTTCACTACTGTGTGATTCTGCCTTTGTTTTCTCTATTCTTGCTGGATGTCTAGACAGTTACCGGACCTAATTTGCTGGGTACTAAAACAAATCAGAGTGCATGGGTTCTTAACAAAATGTGAGATTAAATTTACTGCTGGATTTCCCCGTTCTCTATTGTATAAATTGATGGTTTCTCATCTTTGTTCTATAGATCAGAGGATAAAAATTATTTTTTTTCAGAGGATAAAAAATTCCCCCCAGAGAATAAAATTTCATTGTTTTTACTGTATTTGTAAATGCAAAGCAGTATTTTTTTCATAATCCTTACATTTGTGAGTACAACTCTTAGGTAATGAAACATGAAGGCATTGCCAAGTGTGGTGGTCCACACCTATAATCCCAGTACTCAGGAGGCTGAAGCAGGGGAATCTCAGTGACTTTGAGGCCAGCCTGAACAACATAGTAAGACCCTATATTAAAAAAAAAA